AATCTGGCTTTTTGTTCTCGTTGCTTAAAGTTATTCAGGAATAAGCCGTTGAAAGTAAAGGTGACACCTAAGTATTCGTACGTGTTTGACAGATCTATTGCAGTATTTTTATATATGAATTGGGGTTGATAGCCAATATTTGGGCTCCTACGAAATATGACTATTTTTGTTTTTGATGAATTGACCTCAAGTTTCAGATTATCACAATATGACTCAAGAATTTTCAAGTTTCTTTTTAGTTCTATCTGGGATTCTGCAAAAAGTACCAAGTCATCAGCATATAATAGCATGTTTATATTTTCGCTATCATCTAGAGTTACTCTTTTGGCACCATGTTCTCTAAAGTATTGGCTAATATCAGAGATGAATAATGAGAAAATTAACGGACTAAGAGTATCTCCTTGTAGAACCCCTTTGGTGATCTTGATTTTTTCCGACATTTTACCATTTTGTTCAATAGACAGAGTCGCTGAGCTATACAATAATTTCAGAATTCTAACAATCCTTGCGCTTATACCATTAGCAAACAATTTTCCCCACAGCACGCTGTATTCCAGCGTGTCGAATGCTTTTCTAAAATCTACAAAAAGCGCGAACAGTTTTCTGTTTGGGAGACGTAAGTAGTTATTTATTATCGTTGACAAAACAAAAATGTTGTCATCACAGCTTCTGGATTTGCGGAATCCTGCCTGACACTCTGGTAATAGTTCGAGGTTTTCAACAAAGTTTGTGAGTCTATTGTTAATGAGTTGTGTGAGCAATTTTGTTTTGTGATTCATTGAAGCTATATTACGGTAGTTATTTGGGTCATCTTTTGGTCCTTTTTTATGAAAATGAATCATTTTCATGTTAGTCCAAGAGGGTGGTATCTCTTCCTCTGAGAAAATTTTATTGAAAAGATGTTTTAAGCGCATTATCCAGTCCAGGGGTAGATTTTTGTAAAATTCGTTACTGATGTTATCTTCCCCTGGGGCTTTGTTATTTTTTGCTATGTTTAGAGTCAGAAAAATTTCTGCGTTGGAAAATGCCGTATCTAGGTAAGGGTGCAGAGCGTCTAGGTATTGAGTTGTAATGTCTGGGGTAGGTCTATAAAAATTTTTATAATAATTCATCATAGTGTTCAGGTCGATACCGCCTCTAATATTTTTAATCTTATTGAGGTTAATGTATTTCCAGAATTCGTTAGGGTTATTTATAGATTCCAGCTTTAATCTTATACCTTTCTCATATCGATATTTTTTACTTCTCAACATTTGTTTATATTCTTTTTTAGTTATTCTGTATTCCAAGACAGTGGCTTTTTCAAAATTTGATCTACTTAAATTTTTCTTAGCTTTATTCAAAAGTTTTTTGGCTTCCCTACAGGATTGATCGAACCAAGGTTTACATTTTGAGATGATGTTAGCATTAAAGGTTTGCTTTTTTTCCATGCCTAAAAATTGTAGTGTTAATGTGATTGCTTCATGTAATTGAGTATCTAAATCTTCTGTTGAATCTAATTGAGAATTGAGGCCATAATTAGTAATTATATTTCTATATGAGTTTGATTTTGAAGGATCCCATCTTACTATAGTCTTGGTATAGCTTTTTGAGGATGGAATAGCTTTAGTCTGCTGAAAGTTGATTTCTAAGGTCAATACACAAGCCAAATGGTCAGAAATTAGGTTTTTGTTTATAAAGAAGTTTGAAATAAGCTCTTGACTACTGAAGTTTGCCCAGATTAAATCGACCACACTATTGCCACTCGGCCCGACATATGTATAGTTACCCTCGTGATCTTGGTGCCTGCCATTCAGTACATAGAAACTTAGGTTTTCTAGGGCTTCAACAAGTAACGTTCCTCGTGCATTTATTACCTTATCCATTGAGCCACGGGCTTCTAAAGGGAAGTCAAAATTTTGGTGGTGTCGATCCTCGAATCCATACAGACGACCTATCCTGGCATTGAAATCACCACATATAGCTATATAATCATCAGGGTATTCAGCAATTATGTCTCTAATGGTTTCTTCAAATAATTCAATACAGATGTGATCATCCAACCCAGGCTTCAAATATATAAGTCCTAAAATAATATATATATTATCTATACAAAATCTTACAAAGATCCACATATTACTTATTTCAATTATATTTGCATTACTTAAGCCTACAATTTTTTTTGATACTAGCAGTTAGATACCCCCACTACCCCTTCCCTTCTGTTTGTCTTTTATAGCTTGACTATGGTACATGTTATAATTTGATAATATTTGCGGTAACTTGGGTTCCGGTGAAGAAATCCATGTTTCTACAAGACCGATAATGGGATACTTTAAAAGGTGCTCACATTCTTCCATTTCTAAATTGTTTATAGTGTTTATACCTTGACAATTCCAAAATAATATATTTAATTTTGTGAATTCGTCGTGAGAGTTATCTTCAGTTATCCCTGAAAAGTTTTCTTCACGGTTAGCTATATTGTTTTTTCTCATTCTTGGTTTTTTACTATTTATAACTCTATCTTCTGCTGTACTTGAATTTTGTTGATTTTCCTTAATCTTCTCAAATTTTCCATCTTCTTCATCCCTTTCTTGGTTTGCTACCGTTTCTAATGTTCTAATAATTGTATGAGTTAGTTTTTTGATGGTGTTTCGAATCTTCCTTCAGTTCTTCTCACTTTCCTTGATTCTGCTAATTCAAGTTCTGGGGTTCTTTCGCTGTATTTTCTCCCTCTAGATTTATCAAGTGGTATGTTCTCTTTGGCTGCATTACCAGCTCTCATTTGCTTGTTCAACGTAAGTGATTCCACAGTATATGAATCTCCATTTATGTATAGTCTATTGTAGTTCAAATTAGCTTTGTGCCCTCTTTGTCTTGCTTGTTTCATTTCTTCTTTAAGTATCTTTCTTTGTTCTTGTATGTGTTTTGAGAAATCCTCACTTAGAAATACTCTTGTACCTTTAAGTTTTTTAGCCTCCCTTAGCATTTCATTTCTAAGTGACCCGCTTTTAAGTTCTACCATGATTGGTCGATCCTTATTATCGATACTCTTACCCATTCTGCTGATATCAGCTACATCTTCTCTTTCATTTATTCCTATTTCTATTTTGCTCGCTATGTCTTTGACTATCTTTCTCAAGTTTTCATAAGGGTTGTCTCTTTCTTCTTTGATTCCATAGATAATGAGGTTCTTTTTCCTGATTTCCCTTTCAATGTCATCTATTCTAACTTGTTGTCTCATTTGTTCCTGTTTGAGATCTCGATTTTCTTTTTTTATTTGCAAATTTTCCAGTTTGATATTTCTAAAATCATCATGCATTGCGTTAAGTTTGTCATCAATTTTTGATTCCATATTTTTTATTTGTTTAAGTATTTCCTCCATGGCTTTGTGTCCTGTACAGAGTTATGTATAGCACGTACTCAATTCTGAGCTAGACCCCTATCCAGGCTGACAAAGTCAATGGTTCTAAACAAATATATTTTGTTAATTTATTCCAATATTTATTCGATTATGTTTTTGAAGCCGACCCTGTACTTATTCATCCAGTTCTTGTTGCTCTCTAATCTCTATTCGTTTTTTGCTATTTCGTTGGTTTGATGAATTTAAGTCTGGACTGTCGATTGAATTTGTATTGTTTTAATCGATTAATGAGTAATTAACCTTTCTGGTTCAATTCTCGTAGACTATGTTTTTACTCACGTTAATCGAATCCTTTATTGTCCACTGTTTATACTTTTCACTATTTGATGATGCGTTATTCTTCTATTATACGTGAAAAATTACGGATCGAAATGAATGTGTGTATATTCACTCACTACCAGGACCGGACCCCCTACTGAGGAGTATCAAGAAAGACACACGAATTTGCCAAAACAAGAGCAGATTCGTTCCAGAAACGTCCAAAGATAAGTGAAAAGTCGATATTTTGCCTTTTTTTCTTCGTTTCTCTTCTCCAAAATCACAAATCATCTGATTTGTCCTTACTACACGTATATTCAAATGATATTGATATTTTTGTTTTACAGAGACGAGGAGAGAAAATCCCAGATAATCTGGAATAATAAAAAATTAAGATTCATTATCTATCTGGGTAAACTGATATCAGCTGTATCTCCAATTCTCCATACTACTCAGATATTTCAGTGGATTGTTTACAATAATCCTGAAGCATACATTATGCCATTATGAGCACAGTTGCTTCCATTTTATCAGTTTGGTCAATTGCTAGTGTAATTTGAATGAGTAAATAAGAATAATAGTATATTGTGCAACAAGTGGGGAAAGTTCAATTTTTCTCACGAGTGTTGAAGTTTGTGGCACGAGCCTGAAAGTTGAGTGATGCAAACACACGAGTGAGGAAAGTACTTTCCTTCACAAGTTGCACACTATACTTTTTCTACAACTGCACTCATCCTAAGAATCGAAGTGATGTAACTTATTGTAATTCATTTTATAATTATAATATATTATAATAATTTTAGAAGATATCGATGTGCGGTTTTCACCATTGAGTTTTGCATGGCACAGACAACAGTTTTCTTCAATCTCGTTGGAGAATAAGACGTCCCCTTTGAAAGTGACTAATTTTGCCCACCCTGTACACTCTGAATATAATAGTATCTCTGGATTAAGAAACTTCCAGAGCTTTGTCTCAATTTGTGCGTCTTTCAGATGAACCAATTATTTGTCATTCAAGATTTCATTTCTAAAGTTATGATGAACAATGTTATTTCAGCAGACAGATTACATACACTGCGAATTCCATACTGATTTACACAATATTTTTTATAATTACGGCTTGTCTCACCTACATTTCCATCAACCATTAGTGTCTAAATTCATTGTTTCAGCCTAAACACCCACTTTATCTGAATTACCGAGATGTATTCCTAAGTGGAACATGTTGCCTAAAGGAACATCGTGATATTATTCAAGCCACTCCATTTATCTCTGATACATTAGTACACGAGCTCAGAATATGGTACGCACTAACTATATAATACGATAATGAAAATACCTTCTACTACTATTAGCATCACATTGTCAGGCTTCACCGAGGGTTGCATACACGTGTATTGTCCGCTTTCTTTCCATGAAACGGCCGGCAGACGAATCCTGCTGAATATCCTTTGATCCCTTTCCTGGTATTCGGTTTCTACTGTAAAGTTTTCCTTTGTGAACTGGAAATAGAGAAACACGAACTAAGACGATTGCGAAAGAATGGTTACGGGATACATTCAGATGGGATTTGATGGATTCGAATTTGCGGCAATGGATATGCGAATCAAAATATTCATGATAGTTTGGAATTTTTCCACAGGTTCGCCAAATATTATGTAAAGGGTGATTGAGATTGACATCGTAACTATTTAGAATAACATTCAGATCTTGATTCAATTCTGATCATTGGGTACTCATTGACAAAATAAGATTCAATAATTGAAGTTGAGTGGAGAATTCTGACTGCAACTTCTCAGTATGAAGATACACAGTAAAAATTGAATGTTCGAAATAAGATAGTGCACTTGTTTGAAAATATTATCTTTGGTGAAGAGTTTACATCTCCAAGTCAAAAACTCTATAGTCAATTGAAGGGGCACAATCTCTTATATCGAGAGAAGTGTTCTGTTGATCATTTACTTCATCAAAACACTCGAATAACTTGTCTGAACTCAGACTATGGAACAAGATCGGTGATTTTCATTTCGAAACGAACTAGCACTTCGAAGTGAGAACTGAAATATGTTCTACTGATAATATTATGAACAACAGGATCTTTTATAGTGAACATATTTTAGTCTGATGCAAGTCTTTCATATTAACTGACTTATTATTCGTATTGTTTTGAGGAAATATGTCTCATTACAATATAACCCATAGATTTTGTTTGAAAGATCTTGCCATCCTCATTTCAAGAAATCGAGACTACACTAAGAGTGTGGAGATTTCTTGTTAGAAGGAAATTTGTTTTTTGATAGTAAAAAATGTAAGCGGTATACAAGTGCCTAAGACTACAGCAGAACTATTCAGTGATCTCTGCAAGTGCATTCGTTATCGTGAGTGTCGTGAAGTTCTGTGGTTTGGGGTGTTTTGGTGTTGTTTGGTGTGGTTTGATTCTGTGCGATGGCAAATAATAATGAGTGATTTTTTCCGAGAGTGAACATTCTAGGAACTCATAGAATGAATCGGAAATCTTCGAGGTAAGTGATAATAGTACACTCGTCTTCAAAGATCATGTCGCACATGGACGGTGTCAGCTCCATTCATCACCGCTGCAATAAGGGCACTTATACTGTCCATCAAACCGTGACAAGTTCAAAAACGAGAGTCCTATAACATAAGTACCTGCCTATAATATGGGTATGGAAAAAAATAACGCATTCTTGGACCTTTAATGCGTTCTTCCTATTCACATATTTATATTTAGCTTCAGAGTGTTAGTTGTCGAAAAATATCTGCTTGCCGATTTGGTACTTTTCTCCTCCGACTGGAAACTACATATAGAGATGTCTGTGGCTACGTGCTAAGATCAGATTTAACATCGAGTAGGTACAATTGTCTTCAGAAAACATGTCGCGGTTGGACGGTGTAAGCGCTCTTATTGCAGCAGTGATTCAGACAGCAACACCGTCTATGTGCGACATGTTCACTGAAGTATATGTTCAAATTAAAATACTTCCATGAAATCGGTATATGGACATATGATTCAAAGAACAATAAATTAATAATCAAATTAGGCTTAGAAATTCGATTCGAAAATGCCATTATCTTATTCCAATGTTCTATGTTCTCGAAAAAAGAATATATTTGCCATTCAATCTTCCTATGAGATCATCATAGATTTTCGAACTGAAGATGGTTGAATGAAAAATTTCTTTCTTTTCAATTCGAGAATTCAATTCTCTCTCATGAGTTTGTATTATCAGACAGGAATATCCTCTTATTGAGTTAAAAATAGCACATATTCTCGAGTAGTCATTTCAAATCTCCAATCAAAAACTGATTCGTCTTATCATAAGACACCAACTGAACTTCTTCGAACAGATAGTGTGTCTCAATGATTTGAGTAGATCAGACAATGAGTTCTCAAACAAGATAATATGGTGATCTCGATTCGACATCTAGTGGAGCTCCTGATTAATTTCATCAGAAGCTTCCGCAGTTTCTAATAGAGGCAGTGAAATCACTCAATTCGAGTAAATTTTAAAATTTCAATACAGAAATAGGAGCAAATTTCGGAACAAGTGCATTGCTCATCTCGAAATGGATCTTCAGATCTCTCCAAATAGACGATACACTGCATTCGACGAAGATTAATTATATTCTTGTTCAGGGTACTTGTTTGATCTTTTCAAACATGTGGGAATATTATCTTGGAGTTATTAATTTTCCCAAGCAGAGATTGTATTAGTTTCGTATAATCATATAGCTGGTTTCATCACTGGATATCTTTTGAGAATTCTCTTTGATACATTCGTGAATTTTGTTTGGAGAATTCGAAGATGAGTCAAACGAAGGTGATATTGAATAGATTCAGGTAAAGAGTTAAGTTTCGATTTGGAATGAATAATTTTCTGGTTCGATTAAATATTTCTTTATGAATATAGGAGAGTAAGATCTCTTTATTTCTTTCTCTTCATCCCAAGATTTTTTTTACTGTGTATGTTACAGCAAAGATCATTTCAGTTTATTCAGAGATAAGCATCCTAGATAATGTTCTACGAGCAGCAGCGTTCTAACTGAATTCGAAATTTCAGGAGAATATCTCACTCGAAATATGGAGTATAGGGACTCACCTGAAAGGATGGCGAAGGTCCTTGAGATCGGGTGAGTAGAAAAATCGACGGAATGGACAGACCATTTCAAGCCCTTTATGACATCGATAAACCGATGTTATTACTCGTCAGATTTCAAAAATATGGAATCACATGGGCACATGGCACATGGCAGATGCAGCCTGTTCGAGAATACTGTTCCCACATAATATGTGGCTCTGCATCAAAACACACGCGAATGCTTTCAGGTTCCATACAGAAAAGGACCATTCGCCTGGTTTGTGATTCAACACTCACTTACTCCATAACATCATTGAGAAGCGTATTTCATAAATACAAATGTTATTCGGGAATATATGCTATCATTCCATTACTAGCAATACCACTCAGACGAACTCGACTCCCGTTGTCAACATCGAAGTATGTCGAATAGCACTTTATCAAGAGTTGTTTCTTCATTGAACAGCAGAGCTCTGGAATTCATTGGCTGAGAAAATGTTATGAAGAACTTATAATCTCAAAAACCAATGATACCTACCTCCTCTCATCATTCTCCCTTGGTAAGCACGATGTTCTCAAAACTGTAGAGATTTTTCTCCATATGCTCCAAGCAACAAAGAAAGATGATGAACTTGTTGACATAGGCTCATGATATCTGCCAATTTCCTGACTTGTTTCTTAATGTGTGTTCATATTATTTGAAACATCGAATATGCTAACTATATAGGGGCACTTTCTCACATTTCAGGATTTTCTTCGATATTTCGGTTTTTCTGGTTATAACATCAATTTTCTATTCTCAAATGGAATACCCTCCATTTCATTTTATGATCGCTAGAGGATCATTTCAATCAAATCAACAAAACGGAGTTCGATTTGAATATTTCCAACAATCACGAATATAATCGCGTACGAAATTTCCATACGCTCAATCAGTATGACAGCAAAACACTTTCGATATTGTGCTGTCACAACCATTCAGCATAATGATCATAGAAATATTGATGACCGAACAATCAGTGATTCGAAATATCTTCATGGCATTACATGGAGTCATTGAGAAAAAAATATAAATTTTCAAATGATATGCATCTTGATGATCGAATAGCTGACACAGGAAAAGATATTGTTTTTCTTTGTGCTGAACATTTTTGAACGGTCCATACTTGGGCTGTGCGATATTGAAAATTGAATATCGATATCGATGTTTGCTTTGATATCGATATTCATCGATATATCGATACATATCGATATATAATGAATCAACACATATTATATATTCAAATATATCGATACTTACATATAATATATTCATTTGAGTCGATACATAAAATATATTCATATATATCGATTACCAGTTACGAAGTAACAGAACTTCATTGTTGATGTGCTCAACATATAAAATATTTCACCTAAATGTCAAAATCAAGGTTCTATAGGATGTGTGCCTATAGGATCTTTGAGGGAATAGCAGTATTACCTAGTGAACGTTTTCTAGAAGTCGTATCAAAATATGCACTGCATAATATGTTTTTCCCTTTTTTCTTTAGTTTTTTTTTATCTCCTTGTTGAAGTTGATTGAAAGGTAACACTAGTGCTGTGTGGGGAAGAAAACTAGATATTGATATCGATGTATCCTTTGGCACCGATATGTATCGATATATAGATATTCATGTATCTATATGTATCGATATATGGATATGTATTGAAATATCGAAATGTATCGAAATATTGATAGGTTTCGATATATATCGATAAAGCGATTTTTTTGTTTCATGATATCGCTATAATATGATATATCGATATTATTGCCCAGCCCTAGTCTTAATTAGCGAAGGATTGGATCTAGATGATCATACGAACGCACTAGGAGCATTAAGAGTGGAAATTTTATCCATAAAATCGAGTATCGAAGAAGTATTCGATGAGTTGAATTCATTGAAAGATAATATGTGTTGAGGGCCTGACGCAATACCTGCTGATTTTCTCAGAATATGTGTTTATTCACTATCTAAGCTACTGTGTTCAATATTTAATTCATCGTTCAAACATGGAATATTTTTATGCCGAGGATGAAAAATGTCGCCCCTATTTCCAAGAGGAGTTAAAAGAACGACATAAAGAACTGTCGACCAATTGGTAAACTTTCAGCCGTTCCAAAACTCTTCGAATCTCCACTTGTGCACTTTTTGTCGTGAAAATGCAAGAATTAGCTAATCGAAAATCAACATGGATATGCGACAGGTAGATCAACAATATTGAATCTATCAGTATATCAACAAGGCATTGTCGTGACCCCAGAAAGAAATCTTCAGATTGATTGAATATACAGTGTCATTCATAAAGTCGGCATCATATGGGAAAAACTTTTATTAATGTCTTATTTTGGAATTCCAGTTGTACGT